GTGCTCGCCCGGGCTGTTTCACCATTCCCCCGGGGAAACAGGGGGCCCTCCCCCGTTCCAAAAAACAAGCAAGCAAACAATTTTTCGTCCATTTCTACTTTCGCGTGGCCCAAGGGTTTTGTGGCAACCCCTCAGAACGAGCCATTTCTGTATTTTGGGGGGGGGGGGGGGGGGCAAACATACAATAAGCAGGCGACAATAAAAAAAAAAAAACATCAACGACAGCGAAAAAGCTATGGGGCAAGTTGTACAACAAGAGGTGCCAAAAACAAAACCAACACACGACCAGAGAAGACCCTCAACACACAAGGGCGAAAACGAGAACGATCAAACCTTCACGGCCTCCCAACTCTTTTGGCACAAAGCAACTTCCAGCTGCACCAACTCACGTCTGTCTCGCGCGCCCATGATATGTAAATTCCCTTTCCGCCCAAGCCGGCGGTGACCCTGCCTCTTGTACGACTCCCCCCCCCCCCCGCTAAACAACCCAACCCTTGGGTAACCCCCGGTGACCGAAAATGGCACTATGCTCCTTCTCAATCCTCGCGATACATCGCCGAAAAACACCCTACCGCTGTGCATGCCTACCAAACCCAAACACCTTCTCGGCTACACACCCGGGCATGTAACGGCGCCACGTGCACGGCAGCCAGGATGTGTAGAATCAGGAACGTTTTCGATCTCGCGCCGTGCAACGCGTGCTCTGCTTACACCGCGGCCAGGCAGCCCACGACCGTCCCAGGAAAGGGAAATTTCCATTAGAAATAGAAAACGACCCCCCCCCCCCCCCCCCCGTTTTGGGGGAAAAAAAAAACCGGCCCAATCAAAAAAAAAAAAGCCCCCTGGTTAAACGCGAAACCCTAACCGAATCGCACCCACGCCCGGCCGTTTTTTTTTTCTTTCTTGGTCCTCCCCCCGCTCCAAGCCCAAAAGACTTGTAACCACGGAATGGTGAAAAATTAAAACCCAACCCAAAACCACCACGGGTGCCGCACCGGCGCACTCTTCCAAAATAAGCCCAAAAATCGGGGGGGGGGGGGGGGGGGGAACTTTTTTCCACC